CAAGCTTTCAGCAAGTCCAAAAGTAAAGGTAATTTCCTACAATTTTAAAAATCCCTCAGACAAGTTTTCTTTAAAAAAAACAACCCCATGCTGATTTTCAAAATCAGCATTGTCGCTTCAAGCTGAAATTGACTTGAAAAGCATAAAAGTACCCAGGATACATATCAACAAGTAAATTGCATAATCATCAAGTACACTGCAACTAGTAACCTAAATAAAGAAACACATTTTAAAATGATTTTTTCAGTATTTATTTAAATCAAAGGCTATGTCTACACTATAGACTCTTGCACAAAAAATATGCAAATGAGGTGAAGCATGGACTATTGCTGCATCTCATTTGCATAATTGAGGCTCTTTTTGTGCAAAAGTCTTGCTAAAAACGGGGCCTCATTAATTATTCAAATGAGGCGCAGCAATATTCTATTCTTTGCCTCATTTGCATATTTTTTACACAAAACGGGCAGCATAGTCATAGACAAACTGTTTAGTTTTTCCCCACCCTTCTTTCTAATGGTGGAGTATTGACCTTAAATTTTGATCTTCCTCACTCTTGTCTGACTCTGTATGATCCTATTTTAACAGATTTTAATTAAGGGACAAAGTAATAGGATATCCTTTGACAAGTAAATAATCTGGATTTTGAGTAGATGGACTACAAGACTGAGTAATTCAGTAAAAGAACTGTTTCCCTGGGAGAAGGGAAATCTACTAACCACTCATGCCTGTAGAACTGAGAATAGAAAAAAACCTCTCCATCCATCTACTCCTCACTCAATGATGTTGTAAGGATCTATTTGGTCAATGACACATGAATGGCATCAGCCTCAAAGTGCCACCATCTATCTTTTCACAGCCAATCTTTTTTCTTGGTTGTGTTTTTTGTTTGTTTTTGCTATTTCATGTAAGACCACTCCAGCATTTTACATTCTCATGCTGAAACTCACTGTTGAATTTTGTACAAGCCAGAAGCAACAAAGAATCTGAAGAGAGGAATCTAGATTTATTGGGCATGAAAGACCAGCTCCTACTTTCAGTGAAGCCAATAGGAAATTTTGTCAATTTGAGTGGGAGCAAGGTCAAGACAAAGTCATGGCTTCCAAAGCACCCAAGAAATGCATAGACTCATAGAACTGGAAGAGACCTCAGGAGTCATCAAGTCCAGCCCAAAGCAGGACCAATCCCACTAAATCAACCCAGCCCCGGCTTTGTCAAGCCGAGACTTAAACACCTCTAGGGATGGAGATTCCATCCCCTCCCTAGGGAACCCATCCCAGTACTGCACCACCCTCCTAGTGAAACAGTTTTCCCTAATATACAACCTAGACCTCCCCCACTGTAACTTGAGACCATTGCTCCTTGTTCTGCCATCCGTCACTACTGTGAACAGCCTCTCTCCATCCTCTTTGGAACCTCCCTTCAGGAAGTTGCAGGCTGCTATCAAATCCCCCCTCGCTCTTCTCTTCTGCAGACTAAACAAACCCAAATCCCTCAGTCTCTCCTTATAGGTCCTGTGCTCCAGCCCCATAATCATCGTGGTCACCCTCTGCTGGCCCCTCTCCAATGCATCCACATCCTTTCTGTAGTGGGGGGCCCAGAACTGGACACAATACTCCAGATGTGGCCTCACGAGAGCCGAATAAAGGGAAATAATCACTTCTCTAGATCTGCTGGCAATGCTCCTCCTAATGCAACCTTATATGCTATTAGCCTTCTCGGCTACAAGGGGCCACTGCCGACTCATCTCCAGCTTCTCATCCACGGTAATCCCCAGGTCCTTTTCTGCAGAACTTCTACTTAGCCTGTAACTATGCTTGGGATTCTTCCATCCCAAGTGCAGGACTCTATACTTGTCTCATCTGATTTCTTTTAGCCCAATCATCTAATCTGCCTAGGTCACTCTGGGCCCTATCCCTGCCCTCCATATGGTCATTAGTATCATCACAAATCCTGGGTGTATTTATTACCAAAATGCTACCAGCACAAGCACTTCAGAAAAACTATAGAGTGATGGGTATGGGTATTCCAAGACTGAATAGACAGGAGGCAGAGGTCATTTTTCTAGGTGTGTATGCTTAGGAACTAGTAATGAATGGTTCTCACACACCAAACCCTTATGTAGATCCTTCTGGTACCTATAAAATGAGTTACAGGGCATCCCCGCTCTGTTGCCCCGATATATATCCATTCATCACTAAAGTTGTTCACACTAGTAGGAACTAATGTATCATAAGTCTGCCCATTCCCTGCTCTTAAGTCATGCAAAAACAAAAAACCCCAATATTCTGCGCAAATGGAAGTTAGCTGTGGAAAAATAATTCCTTGAAGTTGTTTCGCTATAAATCCAAGCTTTTTTGGAATGTATCTTGGACTTACAGCGAGGATGGCCTGACCCACAGACAGCATGCACATTCAGTGACTCTCAAGGTTGGTTCGAAGGGCAAGCAGAGCAGTTGATGAAAATGCCAGCTCAGGGGGAAACTAAGTGCCAGCTATCTATGCACCTGCTAGGTAAAAATATCCCAAAACAATAGTTTTGCAATTTTCAGTGACCCACATTTTGAATAGGTGACTTAAGTAATCTGAGCTATTTCTTCTTGCTGCTAGGCTGAAAGAACCTGCCTCATGAATCCCATCATAGTGGGTAATGTTTTCTGATTGCTTCACATCATGCAAAGTTATATGATGAGATGTACTGCTATATAAAAAGACTTAACAAGATGGTTTTCTTTAGAGACTTAGAATGAATCACATCCTGGTGCTCTTTGACCCATGAGTAGTTTCAAGATGAAAATTTAGATAGTCATTGTAGACTGTCTATAAAAGAGAATTGCAATAGCTTAGTTTGAATGGGGTAGGGGGTAAATCTTGTAAAATATTTTGAATGTGTATCTGCAAACTAAGAGCAAGTTAAGGTATCAGTGACAACCCAGAGCTCTTGTATTTTTCCACAGAATAGTAAACATTCTGGCTGCGTCTAGATTGGCATGGACGCTTTTCCACAAAAGCACTTTTTGCGGAAAAGTGTCCGTGCCAATCTAGACGCGCTTTTCCACATAAAAGCCCCGATCGCCATTTTCGCGATTGGGGCTTTTTTGCGGAAAACAAATCTGAGCTGTCTATGCTGGCCCTTTTGCACAAAAGCTTTGTGCAAAGGGACTTTTGCCTGAACGGGAGCAGAATAGTATTTCCACAAGAAGCACTGATTTCTTACAGTAGGAAGTCAGTGCTTTCGCGGAAATTCAAGCTGCCAGTGTAGACAGTTGGCAAGTTTTTCCGGAAAAGCGGCTGATTTTCTGGAAAAACTGGCCAGTCTAGACACCGCCTCTGATGCACAATATTCATATTCATAATCTTATTCTCATTTGTAATGTGTGGTACATTTATTTTTATTCCAAACACTATCTCATAGTACACCTTTGATTTGTCCAATACCAGCAATTCAAAATGTGGCTTTCGTGACTGTCAGCTACGGCACCTGGAGTTGTACTTATGGCAGACCATAAGTACTGAAACTAATCTTCAGGGTTCAGCGCTCCTACTCTCAGAAAGTTGCAGAAGCAGGGTTCCTTTGAAGGAGCTTGACAATTTACATGCAGAACTGCAGGGACAATCTCTCTTTATTGTTTGTACAGCACCTAGCACAATGGGGTCCTGGTCCAAGACTGGACCCTCTAGGTTCCACAGCAATACAGGCAATTGTTATCCTGCCATTAAACATTTGTTTTATTCAAGTTTAATAAACCAATGCCTTTTCACTTAACTAACAATAAGGGCAGGTTTTTTGTTTTTACTTGCTAAATTGACATTGATTTGTAAGCATCACTTTGACACGTGTAAATTTACATATTGTTTATTAAGAGAAAGTTAAGAATATGGACACCCATCAATTAGTTTTTAAATTGCTGAAGCTGTGTTTCATATTTTCCCTCATGAGTGCACATTTTTATAGTGAATAATAGTGACCTTAGTTCCTTTTGTCTGGGGATACTTTATTGGGAAATGTTGCCCAGTGGTTATAGCAGGGTGCTCTGAATCGATGTACTTGCAGTGCCATGTTCTCCAATGGACCTACTGTGTGAACGTGGGCAAGCAGGCCTACATGCCGGGGAGGGGCAAATGCACTCCTCCCATGATCCCCCAAGTAAGCATGCTCCAGCTGGCTGATTTCCCTCCCCTCCAACAGGAGTAGGGATGTTAAATATCGGTTAATTGAATAGTCAAGTAACCTCATGAATTCTTACCAGTTATTCTATAGTCCCCGGGGGTGGGGCCAGCAGACAGTGCGCTCCAGCCCCACTCCTGGTATGCAGAGCATGGGGAAGGGAAGCTTGGGCAGTGCATTGCTCCTGCCTTCCGCCGGCTGAAGCACGCTTACTTGGGGGACCATGGGGTATGCATTCACACCCTGGTGATCCACATTTACAAAAAAAAACATCCCCCAGAAATTCCTGCATACGAGCCTGGCAAGTAAGCACCTCTCTGTATCCCTAGTTTATCCAGGGTAAACAGTAGAATTTTTATTTCTATTACAGTAGCACCTAAAAGCCCCCAGTGTGCTAGGTGCTATACATGAGACAATTCCTGTCCTAATGAGCTTGCTATCTAAATAGACAAGACAGATAAATACAGGGAGAAAGTATTAGGCCAGCTTCAGAGGAAAAAAATTAGAGAGACATGAGTGAGTTGGCTAAGTTCACACAGAAAGTCTATGGCAGAGCTGGAACTGAGATTCAAATCTGTGGAGTCCCAGTTCAGTGCTTTAAGCACAAAGCAATTGGGATTTAATGTGTATTCATTAATCTTTACCTACAAGGCACCTTAATACAGGCCAAATTCTGTCCTCTTCTGTATACTTACTATTTCTCTGACATCAGCACTGGTTACCCATCCATAGCACAGGCAGACTTAAGCCCTTAGTGTGTAGATGGGTTAATGTTGTCTAAGCTAATACAAATCCAGACCAAAAGAGACAAATGACAGACACATTGACAGACAAATGCAGAGGACATATATTTTATTTAATTCACAATAACACACCTATTTTGCATTTGAATAGTTAATTGTTTATAAAAGGTATTCAGGAAACTGACCTGAAATCAGGCCAAAAAAAGCTCAATTTTTGAGAAATCAGAAACTTTACAAGCCATTTTATACTTTGCTGCTGAAAACATGAGCATGGTGTTAGCCTGTACACAAGCCGGTCCTTAGAAGAGCAAATGTCTATCACAGTGGTACTGTTATAAATACATTAGCAAGATTAGACACTGTTTACTTCTAAGAGGAAGGAGAACAAAAAAAAATACAGGAGTTCCAAACTCCACATCCTGGCTATTATGTACAAGACGCTGTATTATGACTCCAAATCAAAGTTCCAACAGCTTTTTGGTTAAAATAAATATTTATTCTTAAAATGCACACAGAGCATAAAGTCCATTGTTACCAAGTGCTGCTTTGTGCACTGTAGGTGAAATTCTCTGCTGATTTAATTAATGAGATTCAGGACCTGGTGAAGTTAAACCAAATGAGAATGTGGTCCATAACTTATACCCGTATACTCACATTGCCTTACTTGATACTCGGTTGTGATTAGGCTGTAAGTAGGTGTGTGTTTATAATTACTGAAAAGGCAGCGTACGATCTTTAAATGGGGGGACATTATAAAAGATGAATTTTTTTTCCAAGCACAGAATGGCATATTTTGTTGTTCCTCAGGACACGTTTAAATTACACACATCCTCTGGGAAACTTTGCTATTTAGATTTACACAGACGCTGCTAGCTCATGTAGAGTTTGCTTCTTTCTCCACTCCATCATCATCATCAACAACCTAAAACGAAAACCCAAATTTTGTTTAAATAATCATTTTCAATTTTGCTTCTCTAGGATTACACAAGACCTCAAGAAAGGCCCAGGCCCATAAATATAAATGACATTTGTTATTCAGACACAGTAAATGACATTGAACCTGATCTTAAGGAGTACTTAATTCCCAGAGGAATCAATGGAGCAGCAATTGTTCAGCTCCCTGGTATGATGATGGTCACATGAAAGAGGGCTCACTTAAATCAAAAAGACGTGAGATTTGATGGAAATAAGAAGACTGTGTAATGCTAACACTAACACATACCGGATGTTTAATTAGAGTATGTATCTGAATTTGTAATTTTGCGGACACAAGCGTATCTTAGTATTAGATAGTATTATCTTAGCAGCAGAGAGGGGCGGTAGAAGCCTCCGTCCATGGGGAGCCGAGCTCCCCGCTGACAGAGGCTGCTCCAGGATCCCACAGAGCAGCCTCAGTCCGAGGTGAGGTCCCAAACCCATGCAGGTTACAGCTTCTAAGCAGAGGCATTTCAAAATATCCAGTCCATATGGAAATAAAGGGTTTTTTTTCAATAAATTTTAAAAAACCCCAAGAAATCTAGAAACAATGTTCTAAGGCTCTCTGGTAACTCCCAATCCCATAGATGTTTCTGGGTTGAACACTGTAAATCCTTTTAGAGTGTCCCGTTATCCATTTACTTAATTCTGCAAGTCCAGTAATATGGCATTTTATGTACTTTTAAAAAACGGTATTTTTAAAAGGGATGTTAGCTATCTATTAATTGAATAATCATGTAACCGCATCAACATTTTGCAGTTACATTATTATTCAATAGTCCCTGCGGCCGGCAGCCAGTGTGCTCCCAGCCCCACTCTCAGGGAACCCCCTCTCCTCTCACACTACTGCCTCTGATACAGAAGCAGCAGCAGCCTCTGTCTGTGGGAGGTCTGAGTTCCCTGTGGACAGAGGCTGTACCAGAGGTGGCTCCTGCCAACCACTCCCCCCCAACTTCTATGTGTACCTGCTCCCATCTGCCCCTCTCACCCACCACGCTGCTTCTTCTTTATCAGAGGAGCAGCATGGACAGGACAGGTGCATCCATGGGATCCGATGCTCATGGGGAGCCATCTCCCCATGGGCACCAGCTCCTGCCTCCCTATTCATTCAAGGGGGCGGGGGGGGGGGGGAAGAGAGATAAGCATAGTCGATAGGATTAACTGATAAGGCCAGGCTTATTGGTTAATCATGCAGTCAAATACATGTTAACATCCCCAATTTTTAATGGTATTTTAAATTACTTGCGCAGAATTCTTCATGCCTCCGAGGAGGAGGAAGAGTGTACCTAAAAATCAAAAAAATACCTTTATATTCACATACCTGTTCCACACCTTCTACTTCTGGAATATAGAACTGTAGCATGTTCTGTATCCCGTTCTTCAGCGTTATGATAGAACTGGGACAGCTAGTGCAAGAACCTTGCAACTTTAACTGTACAATCCCATCTTCAAAGCCTTTATATATGACATCACCCCCATCTTCCTGAACTGTTGGCCTGAGAAACAGAATAGGAAATATTACTCTGTAATTTCTGTTCTAAAAGTTTTTAAGATTTCATTTAATGTTCATGTGAGAGAGTTCCAGGAACAGAAGCCTTATTTTTTTTTTTTTTTTTTTTAACACAAACTGGTCCAACCCGGGCAGGGCATATGTCTCCTTAGAGTGCTCCAGGTTAATATGCCCCAACTCTGACTTTCTACTTTACCATTTATGTCAGAAAAAACATATGTTGCTCAGGGTGTGAAAAAACACTCCCGAGTGACATAAGTTCCACTGGCATAGATGGACGTGTGCACAGCACTATGCTGATGGGAGAGCTTCACCCTCTGGCATTGCTATTGCTGAGGCTGCGCACTGTTTAATTATACTGACACAAGAGCTCTCTCCTGTCAACACACAACAGCTACACTAGAGAGCTTACAGCGGCGCAGCTACAGCAGTAGAGTTGTGCTGCTGTACACTCTCTCATGCAGACACAGTCCAAGGCCCATTTACTCCTTGGCCAAAGAAGAAATGTGCCAACTTTGATGAGTTTTGTGACTGGGAGCTGAGGTTGGGGGTGTAATCGACTATTCGACCACCAAATAGCATATGCTGAATTCAGGGGTGGGCAAAGGGCCCTCCATGGGCCAGATTCAGGCCACCATGCCGGTGGATTCAGTCTGCAGCCATCTTGCTGCTCCCCCACCCTCAGGCCAGTCAAGACTTGAGGGCAGGGGAACCCGCAAAGACTCCTAGCCCCTGCAAGAGCATGCAGCTGCTAGAGAGGCAGGCTGGCTGTTTTAACACAGTTGGCGTTTATCACTAGCTGCTGTGCGCCTTTGGGAGGGGGAGCTTTGTGGGACTGTTCCAGCCCTGCCAGGGGCACACAGCAGCTAGACACACACTGGCTGTTTTAAAACAGCCGGCATGTCTCTCTAACCACCATGCTCTCTTCTGGGGGCAAGTAGACCTCACATGCTGCCCCACCCGCAGGCCCTGATTGGCCTGGGGACAGGAGGAGCACACAAGGTCTCTTTCTGCAGAGCACCTAGTGGAAGGGGACTGTTCCAGCCCTGCCAGGGGCACACAGCAGCTAGACACACACTGGCTGTTTTAAAACAGCCGGCATGTCTCTCTAACCACCATGCTCTCTTCTGGGGGCAAGTAGACCTCACATGCTGCCCCACCCGCAGGCCCTGATTGGCCTGGGGACAGGAGGAGCACACAAGGTCTCTTTCTGCAGAGCACCTAGTGGAAG